ATGTCGCTCTACAACCTGGCGCCAGTCCCAAGTTTCCGTCTGCCGTGGTTCAGATGCTACAGACAATCTCCCGGAACCAGCCAGTCGGCTAAAACTGAACTCTGAGAACGTCAAAACTGCTTGGTAGATAGATTTTCGGACACGCTGAATCTCGCGATAATGTTTGTTTTCCTGTCCAAATGAAAGAACTTTCAAAATATGAGTTTTAAAAAATTTCAATTTCTTTAAAACTCATATTTTGAAAGTTCTTTCATTTGGGCAGCAAAACAAACATTGTCGCGAGATTCAGCGTGTCCAAAAATCTATCTACCAAGCAGTTTTGAGGTTCTCAGAGTTCAGTTTTAGCCGACTGGCTGGTTCCGGGAGATTGTCTGTAGCATCTGAACCACGGCAGACGGAAACTTGGGACTGGCGCCAGGTTGTAGAGCGACATCTGTCGTATGTCTGCATGCGTTTAGAACAGTGCTTTGCTGTGTATATTTTTGGAACGTCAGACACATTTGCTTTCTAAAGATACACCACGGTAGACCTGATCGGAGGTCCTACTTTCCATAGATTTACTTATATCCTCACGAATATTTAGGCACTAGCCGTTAAGTCAAATAGATCTTTAGTACGCCATTTGTTTTATTTTCAAATACCTGCCGTGTTTGAGTATTCTTGAATTAATTTCTCATCATACTCATTAGCCATTTGTTTAATTTGTTCATATTCTTGAAATGCTGCACTTAGCATTCGTCTCCAACTACCATAAATATGCTTCCAATACGGTATTTGGTAGTGAGAGAAGTAGTTCATTGAATAAACATCATCATAAGCAAGAATAATGTAAGACGATAAATTAACATTAATCTCTACTTGTCCATAATCATACAGGAAAGCATTTACCGGCCAATTGTCTTTAGCAGGTTTTGGTTGTTGCTCGTTGTCTCTTTGTGGTAACTGTCTTCCTCCGTTCATGAATGCCTGTCTTGCCAGAAACACATTTGTTTGAGTGGAACTACTAAGATATAACGACTGTGTGGCTAAATACAAGTGTCCCCAGTTAGGTTTTGTTCGATCACCATGATCGACAAATGCATATTGGTTGTAAGACTGATGACGATAGATTTTAGACTGAGAGTCAAAACTAACATCCTCCCACATAATCCAGTCATTCAGATTATTCACGACTATGTCGCTAACAAAATCCATGTACAATTGGACAGAGTGCGGTGTTGAATCTAAAGAACGAACTTCAGTGGTGATGTAAACGTATGGACGTGTAAAATAGTTCAATTGATCAGGAAATGCTGGCTGAGTGTACGTCAGAGTTAATTCAATTCCATATCCTTGGAATGTAAATTGTGTTTGTGTAGGCTGAACACGCAAGTTTATCTGCTGAAGAGGAGGAATGGTCCCATTTGTTATCATTGCCACATCACCAATTGTATCTACGCCAAGAAAGCGATAGATGGCACCGTCAATTCGTATGTATCCGACCATCGTCATATTTGCCGTTTCAATCCAATGTTGAGGTTGCAAATCAGTCAGAAAATCTGATTTCATCCATACAGAGATCGAAGGATTAAGAATGAACAATGGAATGGCTGGTGGACGAAAATTGGAAATTAGTTCACCATTTGCCAATATCACAAAACAGAATATTATCGAAAATGCCAACATCTTACAGAAATGAATGGTTTAGCTGAAGTAAAAAATAGATACAACATGATGTGAAGTTTAGATTAAAAAGCATTCATTTTCTTAGCACACTTCAGTTGGAATTATCTGCTGTTAGAGTTTCTGATAGCTTGCCGCTATTCTACGAAGTTTCTAAAAGTTTTCTAACGATCTGACAAGTTCATTTATACGTCGAGAACTGCATTTTTCAAAAAAGAATTTCCGTGCGACATTTTTCTGTCAGATATAGATTAATTAAGAAAAACGCTACCAGTCAATTGACATGCAGCACTATGCTTAAAAATTTACAAACATTCCACTATATGAAGTATATAATCTTTTAACAATGAGAAAGAAGACATGACATTCGAGTATCCTACGAAAATGTAGCGCCATTCTTCGACAATTCGCAGGAACAAACATAAACCATGCAATTCAGTGAATGATAGTTTTTGTAACCCGAGGTGTGAGAGCTGCTGCCCGACTAGAACTTTTACAGCTGGACAGTTCGGATTTGCGTGAATATGTAATCAATAATCGCCTGGTTAGAGCCCTGCGGGATTATCCCGATTCTGATCCCGCTGGATCGGGACTGAAAGAAAAAGATTTACTGGATCGGATTCGGAATTAAGCCTACAGAAGGGGATCGAGATTCAAGCTGCTGAACGAGGTCGGGATTTTCGCTTTATATATATGCCAGATAAAAAACCTAATCGATTATATAGCCATTGGTTGAATTTTTATTCAGCGAAAAGAGAGAAAGACTAGAGAACTTATTGTCCAGCGGGCAGTTTAGAAAGCCAACAGAGTGAAACGTGTCTTAGAAACACGGTACACACCGTTTGAGTTTCTTAAGTGCGGTTAGAACACTGTAGTGCTCTAGTAGTAACATACTTATGCATTCAATTGGTAGTAAATTACTACCGATATTTATAGTCTGAAACATTACTGGTAGTAATGTTTCAGACTATAAATGCAACAAATGATGTAGAATTATAGACTGATAAGTAGCATGTGACTACTTAATGAATCACTCTGCACTACTCATACTAAATGTATATGAAATTTCGCGTGGTAATTAATTATCTCATAGAAAAGTTATTGAAAATATGCTCAATTTTGGGGCTTATCACTTAGTAATTAAAACACATATCGGAAAAATAACTTCAGTTGTTTCATCTATCACTCTTGCATTCTCAAATGATCTTTTTTCCAAATCTGTACGATCAGTAATAGCTGAGGACGAGTGGCTGACACGAAACAGAAAGTGGTTCTAGAAGGAAGAATTTTTTTGTAGTGAAACAGAATAAGCCTCTTCGAGTTTCACTCGATCGACTTAAAAAACAAAAAAATATTATGATCAACCGCCGTTTTTGGCATGCCTGTGTTTGGTGAAAAAAAGATTTTCGGGATTTAACGGGATTATTAGTAAATGTACGGGACGGGATCGGGACTCAAGATGGTCGAAAAAACTCGCTCCCGCAGGGTTCTACTCCCGGTTCGAACCCAACGTTGTAGAAACTACCGTATTAATTTCTAAAGAAAATCTGAACCTAAATTGTTAATTACTTTTTCTCTTTCAGGAAACTGTATAGCGTTTGTAGCGATTTCAGTTCAGTGAATTAACTTCATCAAACTTATTTGTTTATGTGTAAAATTTTCAAAAACATAAGTAACTTAAGATGGTCTACAAAAAAGTATCTCTACAAAGAAGCTTTAATTAAATACATTTGGGTTTCTAGAAAACCGTCCCAGCCAAAATCAAGGCTAAAAATTACCCAGAAGCATAAAAGAACCTTATATTCGCGACCTCATATTCGTTGATTATGTATACGTCCATGGTTTTTATTAAACAAAACGATTTAATACTTAAGGTAGTTTCCTTTAATTTCTATGTGTTTTCATCAACTTAAGATCAGCCCGAGCCCTCCACAACGTTTCGTTAATGGGAAACCTTGCAGCTACAAATAGCCTGTTTTGATCACTGTTGTGCTGGCATCTCACAAATCATGCTAGATGGAACAAAACAAAAAATTTCGTCACCATACTTTCACAAGATCACCATCTCCTCAAAGTTTGATCAAGATTCGACCCATACTTTCAGGGATAGGTTTCTGACGGGGAGAGGCTTAATCCTATTGGAAGTTTGTCATGGACAAGGGGGTTTTTCAAAGAACTACTGGACCTTTTTTTAACCTGTTTTGAGAAACCTCTTTGAAAAGACCTATGCTCATAGAAGCATGTCTCCAAGTTCCCTCTTTCGAATGGTGAAAAGCGCAATTCTTGATCTTACTGCTATCAAAAGTTATTCAAAAAACAACCAGGGCTCTTATATTTTTAACAGGATAGTAT